TTTTGCTACTTACGTGTTGTGTGCTAGACTGCTAGTGACTGCTTTTTCAGAGCAGGGAACCAACTAGTATTGCCAGGGGACAGACAACCCGCATGAGCAGTGCCTTTAAGCTATGCTTGACTAAAAGCTTTTGCCCGTTTCACAGTGCTTGCAGTTCAACAGGAAAAAGATAAACATTCACGTGTCAGTGCGCTGCTTGTGGCTGACTGCAGTTCAAAAGGAGCACGAAATCCAGCCACCATGCAGCATTCCTGTGCAGCAACAGCAGCCCTTGTCAGGTCTCAGCTGGGACGCCTGTTGCTGATGGAATCACTCAGGCCAAACTTAGGACATGCGTGAAACTAAATACAGCTTGGGCATGTAAAATTATTAACTGGGGTTTCGTTTTGACCAGTTTGTCATTCACAAAGTGAAAGTTGTGTTTGCACAACAAAGAAGACTAAGTGCCTGAGGAGTTTCAAAACTCTGAAACCTGAATCAAGAGTGGTGAAGTGAACACTCATGCAAGGAGGCAAATACCCTTCATCAGTGCCCCACTCAAAACTAGCTGCTTTAGTTTTGCAGGGCACTCTCACATAGTTTATAATGGATATTTTTTTCTAATTTATTCCCTAAGTAAGCCACCCTAATAATTAATTTTTAGATTAATCACAACAGTTTGAGAATGTCCCAAGAGGATATTGTGATTTCCTACTGAAGTATGTTTTTGCTTTTCCCTGTGTTTATTTAAAGCTAAATAGGTTCCCCTGAGTTTTGGAAGACAGTAGTTGAAATTTGGTAGCTATGTGTGCTTTCCCAGCTCTGCCTGTTAACATCGTGCCTTCTGAAGTTGCTTCTCTTGGAAGCAGCACTTCCTTTTTGTGAATAATAGGAAGCCACATGGTAGTGGTATTGACTCATGTCCAAATGTCCATGAGAGGCTAGGAGCAAAACCTGCAGATAGGGTTGTGCGAGATGTTGTGCACATTCATGTTCAGGTGTGTCAAGGAACAGAATTAGATCACCGATTTAGATCAGCAACAGCCTACAGGCCCACAGACCGCTAGTTGGGTTGTTGCAGCTTCTTTCTGTTGAGTGACTGTAACCGTACTGGTAGCCAATACTACAGTGAAGTTTCTGTCATTGTACATCTGTTTTTTCAGAAATACATATATATACATGTATAAATGTACATATACGTATATATATGTATATGTAGTATATATTGAATACCAACAGTCTTAATAGGTGAGGTACTGTGAGCATTCACATTATAAACGCCATCTCCTGCAGTCTGTGATTAAACTATACTATGTGGTTTCATGCAGACATTAGGCATGCAAAGTATTAACCTCTTTGGAAATTCATTCACGGACTTGTAACTAAATACAGTTGAAAATGGTTCATTCATATCTAGGAGGCAGATGTGCAAAATGATTCCTCAGATACTCTTTTACTCTCTCCTTTAATACAACCCTGGCCTGTTTGGTAGTACCAGGCCCCAGTATTTGCAAGTCTGAGATCAGTGTCAGTGCATGTAGTGATTTACCAGCACAGAGGAGGACGATAAGGATGGGAGTGGCAATTTAGCCTTAAATTGTTCCATTTCTTGCATTAACTCTAAGTCTTCTGTTACTATTTTAAAATAAAATTTGGAATAGAGGGTTGTATACACTAAAATCTCCTGCAGGAACTATGTGACTTGCAGTGTTAGTTCTTCATCTTATAAATCTCTCAGAAGTGTAGTCTTGTGCCAAACTGTCAAGTTGCTGTAAATATAGCTAAAATCCTGCCCAGAAATTTCCACTCCATACTTGAAAGTTTTTTGCCCATTTGCCAAGGAAGCCACTATCTTCTGAAGGGCTAGACACAGATAAGAAATATGAGGCTAAATTTTACTTTTGTTTACAGCTGTGCATTCCCACTTAAACCAGGAGCTTTCTAGGGTTCAAGTTTTTTTTTAGTTTTTTTTTTTAATGTCTTTGGCTTCTCCCTAGTATTTTCATGGGTCTGGTATAAAAGTGTTTGTTGTTGTTGTTGTAGCATTTTTTTCCCCCTGTGCTTAAAAGTATCATTTTTATAATTGGAAGATTGGAAGACTCTTTTTTTTAACCTTAGCTTTAGATAAACCTAATCGAATGACGTTTCAGAGCCCATTTTAGTCTATGTGCAGAAGGAAACAATACTAACATCAGCAGAAGTTCTAACTTAGACACGACTTGCAAATTGGGCCCTGATGTGTCCATCTTACCATAATACTTGTCTAATATTCCCATAAAATTCTGTTTCATGCTGTTCCATACATGTCTGAATTCAGGGGTGGGATACTTAAGTATCAACACCAAGGTGCCTTTTTGAACTGTTCATTTTCTGAGTCCTGTGTCAGTCATCTGCTGACTCAGTGTCTATTGGAAGGATAGTGATTTTTAGCAAGCCCCCAGCAATGTGAAAACTAGGCTTGGCTCAGGATATAATATATAGTACATATATATGCATATATATATATATATATACACCTCTGTTGATCCTCTCTGGGCTGAGACATGAAAGGCAGCTGGGCACATTTAGCACCAGGCTTGTGGCAGCACGTTTCCAATTCTCTCTTCCGCGCAAGCCCCATGGAGGGTGGCGAAATCCAGGACAAACTCGATCTGTTTGGTGAAGTAGCTGTTTGTAGGTTACGAACCGCACGCAGAACACAGCAAGGTCGTTGCTCAGGAAAAGGGCGGCATTATGTAACCCCGCGTCTGACATCTGATGAGCAACAGATGATTTCGTGTGTGTGCAGAGGAGCTGTAATGGGCTATGCTGGCTTTAAATGATCTGGTAGTACACATAAACCAAGATATTAATGGAGTATGGTACGTTTAGGGGTGGAGGCATGCTCCCATTTTAGCATGAATATTCTTACCTTCACAATGCCCATGAACAAGGCATCTGCGTAAAAAACAAACAAACAAATCCATAATATGGGTTTATATGGAATAATATGGAGATATGTAATCTAAGGCAAAGATCAAACTCCTTCGGCTCAATTAATTGGTCAGAAACTTAGAAAGCAGGCCTATATTCAGCACAGCAGTGGCATTGAAAGATGGTTGGAAAGCTGTAATTCTGAGTTGGTCACCACGAACATCTGGAAGTAAATTTAGCAGCAGCTCATGTGCAGACCTTGAGGCATAAAGCTTTGTGGATCCATAGTGGCCAGTTTCTATAGGAATTTACTGTTTTGCTAGTAGACCACATGTCAGCAAAATACATAATATTTTACTGGTGAAAGAGTTTAGTGTACTACAGAATGTCAAACTTTGTATGATAGACCCTAGTTAAATAATCCAGGGATTTTGTTTAACCAGGCCTGGCATTTTTTTCAGTAAATGCTTTGCAAATGACAAAGAATCATAGAATGGTTGAGGTTGGAAGGGACCTCTAGAGATCATCTAGTCCAACCTCCTGGTACAGCAGGGACACCCAGAGCACATGGCACAGGGTGGCATCCAGGCGGGTTTGGAACATCTCCAAATAAGGGACCTCCATATAGAGATGTCCTCTATTAAATAAATAAATTTCTTTCTTCATTCCCTATGAGAAACCCGCCATATGTCACTCTAAAGGATGAGGCGGTGCTACTTTAACACAAAGGAAGATGCTGTGTGTAGAAGGTTGTAATCCCTATCAGAGTCATAGATAAAGCCATACAGACTCACCAGAAATCTAAGTAAGGGACCGTCTGAATGAAATGGGTTATTCTGGGTCAGCCACAGCCATGCTGCAGGGCTGGATTTCAGCCTTTTATTTTTGCTTTCCTCTCAGCCCTGTCCAGCACAGGACCAGCCATAACCTGACTGTAAGCACATCCCGCTCATTGCAGTATCATAAATTAGTTGCATTAGACACAATAACTATGACACATCTTTATAGGACTTGGGACAACTTGTTTACACTTCTGCAAAGAATAGCTGTACAGCATTTTATGAGTCAGTGTTTGTGGGTATGTTATGTTCTCGGTCTCCCTTCAGTTTAACATAGGTCTTCTAACAGAGTGGGAGATAATGGTGTTTGGGCTGGCAGCTCAAATTTGCACTAATGGAGTTTTTGTGCTGGATGTGTTTGACTGCACTTAAGCATTAGATAAGAAATCTGTCTGTTACCCTGCAAGCTA